CGCGGGGGCTTCGCGGGTTCCCCCCGCCCCAGCCTGTGAGGCCTCTGCCAGCCAGCACGTGGCATGGATTCCATGGAGAGCTGTGGGCAGTGAATGTGAATGCGACAAGAGGTGCCCATGGTGCTGCCACCTGAAATACTGCACTCCCTGTCTCAAACAGCCCCCAATTTCTGGTGCAGCTCCTCCGGTGCAGGTATTTTGGGGGTTGATGTTACCGTGTCCCTAATCCCCGGCAAGAGGCTGGGAGCTCCCCCGGTGGTGGCAGAGCCACGCAGGTGGCCACGAGCTCGAGCTCACTGGAGCCGGGAGCCCAGCCCCGGGATCGTGGCCCCGGGCAAGAGAGGGAGGGCTGAGAACAAACAAAGGCGGCAAAGTACAGCGTGTTCCTGGGGCTGATGGCAGCGCTGATAGTGCTGAGGGGGGAGCCCGCGCCACCCGGCTTGCTTAACCATTAACCGGGGAGCTCTGCGGGCAACCCAGAAACAAGCAGCTCTGCAAGGCCCAATGCATCCTCTTGCCCAGCCCTGGCGGTGGCCCTGGCACTCGCCAGGGCTCTCTGAAACACCCTGTGTCCTGCAATGGGACCGCTCGAGGGGGTCTTCTCCAGCATTCCCCCGCCACCACCGGCAGTCATGGTGCACATACAGGCCTCCTGCATAGTAGGGCAAAAGCAATGACTTTTAATTCTGCTTGATAACAGGGGGAGGGATCCAGCATCCAGAGCCGTGTCACCCACGGTGGCCAGCACCCAGTGCCAGGCCAGGCATGGCCACCTTGGGTCTGGGAGCACCCCAGAGCGGCTCTGGCTTCCCCCGGCATCCCTGCAGCGAGCCCTTCTGACCTGGCCGCCGGCGACCTAACGTGACAGAAACGCAGCACTGAGGGCACCTGGGGTGGCTTCAGAGGGAGGGGGGCCCGGAGGGCAGGTGCCAGCCTCGCTTCTCACTGGAGCGGGCTGTGGCTGGGAACAGGGCGCTGCCCGCTCCGGCGCTTCGGGAGCCAGATAAGCTGTGCTCCGCGCGCTGCCTGTGCCCCGGTCCTGGGCTCTCCTTCGCCTTATTGCTGCGTCATAAACCCATAAAGACCCTGGAGAGGCGCCAGGGTGATAACGTGCCCCGGAGATGGCCGCAGAGGTGCTTAGTTGGCAGGAAGCGGCTGTTAGCACAGGTGCCCACTGAAACCCCACGGGGCACCCTTGGATGCCACAGGCCGGACTCCCAGCTTTGAGCTGGGGCCCTTCTCCATCCTGGGAAACCCATGTTTGGAGACTCATCTCCCAGCAGGATCCAGCATGCGGCAAGCCAGAGGCCATGGATACAAGTGCCTGCTGCGGGCACCCACTGGGTGCATCTGATGGCCCCCATCATCCTTCCTCTCAGCATGGCCACGGCCACAACGGGTGAGATGGGGACACGAGCTGGGCAGTCGCTGGCCCAGCTTAACCTTGGCCAGAGCAGCTCTGCGGGTGCCTCAAGGGGATGCCCGTGCCATCTCCCAGCGGGACAATCCGCACACCCCACACTCACCGCCCTGGAGGAGCGGGAACACGCCGTGCTGCCAGCGCACGGAGAGATAAGGTGCTCTGCGCATTTCCCAACAGGGCAGCGGAGGAAAAAGTGGCAATAAAGATAAGGTTTAAAAATAAAAGTGCACTTGGCCGTTGCCCCTGGGGCACTGCACTCCGCATCCTGCTCCTGCCACCTTTGCCATCTCAGTGGACCAGGAGCATCGCTGAGGGAGGGTGCAGCACTGGTCCTGAAAAGCTGGCGCCAGCTTCCTGAAGCAAAGGGGGTAGGAGGCAACTGTCACCTCATGGTGACACAGTCCCAACCCTCCAAACATGCGGGGGCTTGGTGCAGGAGGACACATCTGGAGCCAGCTTGGGTTTTTGGCCATGCCCAGCATTTGGGGAGCTGAAGATGCTCTGCTGTATCTGGCCACTGGCTGGGCTAGACCTCCTCGGGATGGACTGCTGACCCACGTGGAAAAGCAGCTAGAGGTGATTTTTGCTATGGAGGCTGGGGGCAGCCAGAGGGTTTGTTTCCGAAGTTTTAATTTATTCACTAAAAAGGAAAAAAAAGAAAAATCCTCTCCTGGAGGCTGGCGGGAGGCCCAGGGCGGGCGCGCTGGCGGGACGAGGGCGGCGATGCGCCCGTGTTATTTAAGGTCTTTGCCGCTGTTTGGCAGAGGAGGTTCCCAGCTGATGCTGAGCTGGCAGCGCCGCACGGAGCCGGGAGGAGAGACACGGGAGAAGAACCACAGCGTGAGAAAAGGCAAAGGCAGCCCAGGCTGTGGGAGGAAAGGAAGTCGAGGGGCCCGTGGGACCAGCCTCAGGAGCTTCCCGAATGCCCGTTCCGCTGGCACCGGCGCTGCTGCGCTGGCTGCGTGTTAGCGCACCCAGCGAGTGCCCAGCTGCTGCCAAGGGCCACCCTTCCTGCCCTGTTCTTCACGGGATGCTTGGAAACAGATGGTTTTATCCGAAGCTGGAGCCTGCACTTGTTTTTTTTTGTTTTTTTTTTTGTTGTTGTTGTTGTTGTTTTTGTTTTTTTGCCATTCTCAGCTGACTTTTCCTTTGGGGAGCACTGCGAAGGCAGACGGACAAAGTCTGCTTCTATCAAAGCTAGAAGAGGGTCCCCAAGTAGTGCAAAAGCCTTTGGGTGGCAGTGAGCACAGGTCCCCATGTGCACCAGGGACACCATGACGCGCTACACTGGCAAGGAAGGGCAGGAGGAAGGCTGCACCCATCCATCTGGCTTGCAGGGGCATCACAAGGAGCCGCTCCAGCAGCGTGTTAGGACATCGCCAAGAAGAGGGATGTGATGGGGAGCCGGGATTCAAAATCCAGAGCTCAACTGTGGGCTGCCCACAGAGACTCTGCTCCACAGCCCAGGCAGAGGTGGTGGGGACCTGCCAGCCTCACTGCAAACAGGCACAACCCTATGGATGTGTTCTCCATTCTCTGAGCTCCATGGCCAGGCTCTGCAGCAATTCCCAGGGGCTTTCCGGAAGGTTTGGCCCATGTCTTGGAGCAGGTTTGGGCATGGGAGAAATTGAGCCTGTCGCAGACCAGTGGGAAGGGTGACTGAGCCCAGCTAGATCCGGGCACCCTTGGAGGACTCAGCTTTGTCCCACTGGTGACATGAGTTGTCAGGTCTCACCCTGGCAGGATGCAGAGTCATCCTAGGCTGAACTGTGTGCAGTGCTCAGGCATACCCCTCTGCTCCTCCCAACAGCGATCCTGGTTTGCACTCAAACCCACCTCGGAGCCAGGCACGACGCCAGGGAAAAGCAAGGAGCAGCCGCAACACTGGTCAATCCAGAGGAGCAAAAAACTCATCTTGGCGAAGAGGCAGCTGTGGTTGAGGAGCTGGCTCAGAGCCTGGCTGGTGTCTGGGAGTCGGTCACTGCACACCCTAGGGACGCGCCCAGGCCCTGTCCCCCTGTGGCCACCACTGGTGCCACGGAAGCCATGGAGGGAGCAGCTCTCCAGCCTAGCACTGCCTCTCAGACAGTGGCTTTTAGGATGGAGGCTTTTATTGGAATTTGCACATTAGCACCAGGGAAAATGAAGCTTCCCTTGCCTTGAAAGTTGGTCGCGGGTGGCAGCTGGACCTCACGCTGTGTCTCATCCCAGCCGCATGTCCTTCTGGGCTTGTTTCACAGGGTGAGCCCAGGCAGCAGAGGCACCATAGTCATTTGGAGCAGCACCATCTTCCCTCCCCAGCTCTGCAGTGATCTGCTCCATTGAGCCAGGCACCCTCAAAACACCCTGCCCTAGATCTGCTGCGGCTGCGTGAGGCGGGGCAGCAAATCCCAATGTTGTGCCAAGACATCAGACCCAACAGCCTCTGCCAGGTTCCATCTATCACACACAGATTCTGGGGGGGCTGCACACCCCACCAGCCTTACCAAGCTAGAGTAACCTTTCCAGGCAGTGTGCTCCCCAACACCCTGGGACCCTACAAGTCCACCCAACCCTTGCACCAGAGCCTGGTGAAGCTTTCTCATGTGCCAGTGGGCTTCCTGGAAGGTTTCCACTCACAGAAGACCTCCTTGCTCCATGGTGCCAACCACAGTAGGCCCACTTTTCTGCCCTTGCCAGCACCTCAAGCTTGTAGCAGACTTATCAGCACACATACTCAGAATAGGGATCTTCTCACTCAAACACTGTCCCAGCAGATGCAGGGGAGCTTTCCTGGGAGTTGAAGGATGCCTCATCCTGGGGAAACTCCTTTCAGATATGATGGTATCTGAGGAGGAAGCTGCAAGGGCTTGTTGAGCGCATGGAGCAGGTACAGAGCTGCTCAGCAGTAACATTTGATGGAGGGGGCCTGGCAGAGAGAACAGGGAATGCAACGGCATAGTGAGGGATGAAGGAATGAGGGATGCTCCGGATGAGAAAGCCCAAAGGCAAGACAGCCCCTTCAAACTGATAACAGGGAGGTAGCACTAGGTGAGATGTGAAGAGTGTGGCCAAGAGCCTGGCTGTGCATGCCACAGCTGGAGCTGCAGAGAAAGCTCT